CAAATCTCTAGGGAAATGAAGAGACCAAGCAGAAAATACCAAGTAATAAATAAGGATACAAGGAAAGTCAATTAATTATGGCATACAATTAAAGCTGTTGTAGCAACTAAGAAAACTTCACATTCTTATAACCTGGGTATATATTAAAATATGGTCTTTCCTATAGCAAGTTGCAGTAAATCTCCTTGTTCAGTTTTTAAAATATTTTAGAGGTGGAGGATTAGCCAACGTTACATTATAATAACAACAGATCCACTCAACTCAGCAACCTGGAATTTCTTAAAAATAAAGCTCAAGTTGTGATTAGAGTTGAATGAATTGCTAATGCTGACAAGTTCATAGAATTGCTGTGACACAGGATTAATAGGTTGTTTTGAGACACCAGCTGGGAGACTTACCCCCTTGGTCAGTAAGCCATCCTCTGAAACAAAGACAGTTGGGGAGTAATTAGGCAATTAATGAGCAATGAAAATGGATGCTTCTGTAAGAATTTATACAATGGTAAGGTGACCCCAAGGTAAAAAAAAAAGTCTTTGGGAGAAGCTCGACAGACCAATGACACATTTTTTCTGCCCATCCATGATTGAAATATTTGTTTTCTTTCTGTGTGGCCAATAAAATCTACAATAAGAATGTAATTAAACCTGCAGAAACACAGTGGGCTCTGAGCAGACTGGGACATGTTTACCTACGTAACTTGATTGAGTGATGATCATTAAAAAGGTAATAAAATTCTGACAAGAATTACAACAATTTTTAGACTTAGTTTTAAGTTACTGGTGTGCCCACTAGTACTGTCTTTATTCTCAAAATATACCAAATTGTTAATTTGGCTACTTCTTGTGATCCCTCTAAATCTGATGGATTTATTTTATTTTTGTAGCTTGAGTGGAGAGACTGTCAGTCTCTGTAGTATATTAAGGGAGGAAAAGAAGCTCTAAGGCTTAAGATTTCAATCTTCAACACAAACAAATGGACTTGAGGCTCAGAGTCATAAAATGGGTAGAAAATTTATCCTTGGATTGAATTTTATGTGTTGCCAACCTTGACCAGTACCTGACCCAACATTTCTAAGTATCCAAAGGTTCTAGTTCTACTTTCAGCTCAAGTTATGATATTGCAAACACATTGTAAGTTGTTATCGAGCTGCTACAAGATTATCAAGTAAGTTTGGGACCAATGGGGTAAAGGTGTCACAGAGGAAATAAGCTACAAAAATGTGCTGTGCCTAAAGTCAGCTTAACAATGACTTGACACAAGAACTTTTATTACCAGCGTTTTCTGTGTACTCAATCTTTAAAAATAAAAAAAATAAAAAATCCTGTCCTATCTGGCAGCTTTTGCAATCAGTATCATGATCTGAATGCACTGTTGTGCCAAACACATTTTGCTTTTTCAAGATCAGCTCTATAAATTCTCTATAGGCTCCTCTTCTTCAGGGTTTATCTGCTTATTTCTTCATTTCTAGTCGTGTTATTGAAGTTATTACATTACATGTGGCATACAGTATGACAATGTCTAAGGCAGGACAGGCAAAAAAAAGGGAGGGGGGGGGGGGGATTCAGGAAGATATAATAAAAGGATAGCGCACAAATAGAAATGTTCACGCCACTAAATTACAAGAGGGACAACACACAGGTCTGGGTCTGGGACAAGCTTCACCCAGCAATCCACACCACGGGTCTTTGATGCACCCACAAGCCTCCAAGGTGCGGAACGGACTTCCCAGCGTTGGCCAACCCACCCAACACAGTGAACACCTGCAAGCTGGATGAAAGCGG